GAGTAAGTTAACTACAAGAAGATAGAAGCGTCCTTATCCCAGGAAAACAAAGAATCCCAGGATAGGTTCTTGGGAGAAGAACCTTTGTAGAAGAGAAGGAGTTAATCAGATGTAAAGGAGGAGGAAAGGAGTTTCAGCATGTGTGAAGGTCTGAAAGGAGCAAGAGGCTATGGAGTTTCAATCTGTGAAATGTTTGATGTATCTGGGGCATTTAGTTTGACGGTATCTAAAACAGCTGGGTTTGATCTGGTAGACAGAGGCCAGATCATGAAGTATCACTGTTGTTTTCCTTTTTTATATTTTTGTGTGTGCATGGGTGTGAGCATGCACATAGTATAGCACACATAGAGAAAACAGAAGATAACATCAAGTGTTGGTTATTGTCTTTGAGACGGGACCTTGTTTTGTTTACTGCTGCATACACCAGGCTACTGGCCCCTGGGTGTCCAGGAATTCTCCTGTAGCTGCCTCTCATCTCACTCCAGCAGTGCTTGGATTACAGACTTATGCTGCTACAACCAGCTTTACATGAGTTCTGGGGGTCTAAGCTCAGGACCTCATGCTCACTCTACATTGACTTTACCCACTGAGCCATCTCTCCAACCTGCCCCCCCCAAATACATCATGAAATATCTTGTACACTATGTGAAAGATGTTTGCTTCTTTCTTGAGGGACAATTGGAATCTATTGGGTGTATTAAAATTGGGTAATTACCATGTGCTTTAGAAAGATCATCCTGTTGACAGTCTGGAAAATGAATTGACAAGGCCAAGGGAAAGACCACTGACTCAAAACATAATTTCAAACTATGACTTTTGTAAGGACACAGATATTCAGACCATAACAATATGTAATTTTCTTCTAATATTGCAAAGCTGAAATGAGTTAATCTAAGTAATATATGCTGCTCAACAAAGAAATCAACAATGCCCTTTACAAGGGGTTAGAAAATGTTTTTTGCTGTTGTTGTTGTTGTTTTTTGTTTTGTTGTTGGGACAAGCTACTATGGATAGATTTTCTATGTAACTCTTAATCTCAAAATCATCCATATGTTTACACTGCAGCTCCCCAGACTAGTTGTTACTGTAACCCAAAGGGTCCACAGCTGGGTAAGACTGACATCTAATTAAGCATACTGAGTATGTGGTAATTATTCTAATTGTTAAGGCTCAATAACGCAGCCTGCTATGTGATAGGCAAAAAGTTGGCTGAGAAGGAGCGAATGGATGATGAGGGCACCGAGGCACAGCTAAAACTCCATCAAAATAGGGTTTATTAGCAAAGGAACACATGGGGCAGATTCCCTTCCAGGCAGGGAAAATGTCTGCCCGGGTCTTGAGCTGGGGTCTTTTTAAAAGGGAGGCTTTTGCCTCCTGCAGAAGGTGGGAAGATGTATTTTTTTTTTTTTAAAGTTGGGGGGGAGGGAGTGGGAGAGCGGGACTGTTAAAGCCTGTCCTCTTTAGAGATCAAAGGGGAAGCCTGCTGTGTTGGCCAAACAGTGGAGAAAAGTCTGCTTCTCTTGACTTCAAAGACCAAGGTGCTTATCAGCTAGGTTCCCTTTTCTTAGGAGCATGAGAAGTCCTTGGGATCCTGTTGGTGATGGGTCAGGGCTATCTGAACCTTAACACTATGTTTTAATCTAAAATCTTTGGGTCATTACAAACATTTGGTACAGCTGCAAGAGTGTTGTAATTTTAATATAAACATACTACTGGTCAGGATAAACAGGTTATGCTGGTACAAAAAATATCTCTAAGTTACAGTGACTTCACATAAGGACTGCTTTCTTATTCTTATGGTGTCTTTAGTCTAGGCTGGCAGGCTGCTCTCCTCCATGTTGTACCACGTCAGCAACTAGGTTTCAACCTTGGGAATGTGCTGGTCACCAAGGCAGAGGAGAGGCAGAATGGAGCATTGTGTGCCAGTCCCTCAGAGTCCACAATCCTTAACCTCCACTCACATTTTGTCAAAAAGTATGACACATCTCCACGTTGGTCTTTATGCAGAGAAATACAATCCTATTGTTACATGTACCTGAGAGGACCTAGAAATATGTCTTCTCTAGAAATTCATGACTGTCATAGACATAGGTCAGTTTCATGGAGGAGTCTCCAGGATCAAATATATGGGAGAAATGACGAATTAAGCAAACTAAAGATATTCCTAAGTATGACTATTTCTAAATCCTTACTGTATTAATATGTACTGTTAATCTCCAAGAAAGGGACTATTATCATAAGATGCTTTTTGAAGACCATCTAAAAAGACTCATGACCCAAAAACCTTTGAAGGAAGTACCCTAAAGCTTTGCCTTTTTAGGATTTATTGGGTGGAGGAAAGGAAGAAAGAGAGGAAAAAATGAAGAGAAAAAGACTGTAGCAGTGAAGGCATACGGGTGGTCTGAGATGGAGATTTACACAGAAAATCTGTCCATAGTAACTTGTCCCAACAAAAGAATACCACTTTTATTGTTTGATATCACATATTATGCTAACTTATTAACTCATTTCAGCTTCACAATAATATTAGAGGAAAATTACACATTGCTATTGCTTGGATGTTTGTGTCTCTACAAAAGCCACAGTTTGAAATTCTAACTTCTGGTGGGGAAGGTGCTGTGGGAGGCTGCCAGTGGGGAAGGGGGTATAAAGATGATTAAGGTTAATTAAGATGTTCTGTATGAAATAAATAAAAATTCAATAAATGTTTACAAAAAAAGGAAATTGTAACTCTTGGGACAGTAGGTGATAAAGCCTTTATGAGGTGATTACATTAGATCATGAGGAAAGAGACTTCCTGGCTGAGATTAGTGCTCTTAGAAGAGACTCTGGAAAGCTAGTTTGCCCTTCTTCCATGTGAAGATACAGTGGGAAATTTTGTGGTCTAAAACCCAGAAGAGGGCCCTGCCCAGAATGCTGCTCGGTGGTTCTTGCTATTTTTGTCCTTGAGAATTGAGAAACAAGTGCCTGTGTTTATAAGCTACCCAATCGCTGGCATTTTTGTTACAGCAGTCTGAAAGAACTAAAACACATTAGAATTCATATATAAACTATGGTCTTGACTAGAAGGATCAACCTCCAAGCAACAAGAATTAAATGTTCCAGTGAGGTCTTCAAGTAATAAACCATGTCTGGTCAAAGGATGGGAAGATTTTCATTTTGGCTGTCCTGTCTAATTAAACTTTGAAGTATGGACTCTAGTGAAAAATATTAAATGCTAGGTGGCTTAGATTATATTCTGTAGATGATGATAAACCATTGAAGGATTTTGTTGTTGTGAAATGTTTCTTTTTTCTTTTTTAACATAAAATGAACCTCTTTATCTTTTATCCATTTTTCATACAATATTTTTACTTATTCTTTGAGAATTGTATACATACATATAATGCATTTCATCATATTTACCCCCCCCCACTCCCTCCTCCAACTCTTCCTGGATTCCCCCCAATCCACTTCCCAGCTTTATGTCCTCTTTTTAAAAATAACTCACTGAGTTCAATGAGTGCTGCCTATATTATGCACGTGAGTGTGGGGCCATCCACTAGAGCATAGTCAACATAGCAGGGGTCATATTGCTAAAGAAGACAGGTTTTTCCTCCCCTAGCAGCCATCAACTATCAGGTGGTAGTGTGGTCACTCATCAAAACACTAGTAGTAGGTTCACCCTTAGGGCCTATGAGCTCCCCAGCCACAGGTTCTTGATCAGATTTACAGTACCAGGCATGCATTTCCTCCTATAGAGCAGGCCTTACACCAAATCAGAAAGTAGATTGTTACCCCCATAACATTCATGCCACTATTGTACTCATGGGCATATCGTGCCAGGCTTGTCATTATAATAACTCAGGGAGTTCACATCTGGAGAAGACTGTTGATAACTTTTTGTTGATAACTTTTCTCCCCTAGAAACGTGCATAGCACTTTCCAGTACTATGAATGCTATCCAGCAGGGAGGGAGCGTCCAAGTCAGTACCAGCTTGATTTGTCCAAATCTTGTGACCAAAGGCTTGTGGTATCTTCAACAACGGGGTTTACCATCAGCTTCTAGTGGACAAACAAGAGCAATGGCAATAGCCTAGACTGTTTTTGAGGGTTTCTGGGCTCACACTGGGCCTTTGGTCAACCTGAGGCCTCTGTGAGGAACATTATCCCCTGTGTAGGATGACTCCATTTAAACTCTTTTCTATTTGGAAACTCAAACAATAGTAGGTCCCCATATGGCTTTTTCAAACATCCTTAGTGTTTGCTGTACTTCCCCTACCCTTCCCTCCTCCCTACTCTATTCCCTCTGTTCCCCTTTCCCCAATCATACCACCTGCATTCTACTATCACTCCTCCCTTCAGATCTTTCTTCCCCCACCCACACCCCAAATGGTGAAGGTTTTTGAGGTAGGAGTAACACAGATAATTATAGCACGACTTAGAATTTCAAGTTTAGAAGAGTCCTTAGGTAATCCAATCCAAACTTCTCAATTTACATATGAGAAAAAATGAAATGGCCAAGTATGAGGCTAGACACCAAGGGCTCTCATTGTTGTCACTGGCTTTTTCAGTGGGTGCTTAGCCAGGTTGATTAACTTGTCATCACAGCCACAGAGAGAGCTCAGATCTTGGTGACCTCTCATCCACACTCCAAATTAAGATGGGCCCTGGAGAGATCTTAAGAACTGGCAAAGGAAAAGAGAAGAGAAGGAAGAAAGGAAGGAAGGAGGGAGGGAGGGAGGAAGGGAGGAAGGAGGAATGGAGGGAGGGAGGAAGGAG